GAAGGGTGAGAGCGATGGATAGTGCAGTATGGTATCGTAAAGTTCGCGGCCGGGTTGCCAAGGCGAAAAATTGCTGAAGGCTGTTGACAAGACATGACGAAAGCAGACCCGCAAACGTATCCAACAACAACACGGCAGCCGGCTTGCACTAAAAACACACGTGATTTATTAAAGTAGCTGACATGTCAAACTTGTACGCGGCACCTCGATGCACTCATATGTGCCACCAAGCATCTGATATACGCACCTGCCTAGAAAATGAGGATCACATAGTCCTCCAAGGCGCCAAACCTGCCTCGAAATGAGGAAAACAAACTTGTCCAAGGCGCTACACTTTGGTGCCTTGGATAACTTTGTTTTCCTCATTTCGAGGCCAGTAGCCTTCGCAGCGTTCTCGCATTAAGTTAACATGTTGGATGGCATATAATCGGGGACGTTAGGTCAGGGTTAGGGTCAGGGAATAGGGTCTGCGTACCCTCCTCCCTGTTCTATTCCCTCATGATACTGAATTTCCCGCCAAGGCGGTCCTTGGAGGCAGGTGCACACACCAGATGCTCGGTGGTACACACGAGTGTACAAAACAGCAACCAGAGCGGCCTTCACCACCAACAGCTTACCACCACAACCAACAGGTCCTGAGCGATGTACTTGGGGTAGTTGAACCACCCCGCGTCGAAGTAGGGCCGGATGCCCATCACCACCGTCGCGCGATCTCGGGGCGTCTTGCGCGGCCAGATGATTCGCAAGAGGTACTCCTTCGACAAAACGAAAACAGCAGGAAATCATCGCAACAAACACGGGACACACATACCGTACACACCAAGTAGTAGCGCGAAGGAGAACACACACCAAGCGGTAGCGTGAGGGAGAACATGAACAAAAAAAAAAAAACGTAGGATGCGTGGGTCGAGAAGAAGTGACTGGGGCAACAGGAGGGGTGGGTGCGGGGAAACTAGCGCAATCACAGCACAGGGCGCCTGCAAAAAAGAATTCAGCAACATCGGTTGTTCACAACCAGCAAGACCCAGAACCTGAACCTGCTCCGACTCAACATTGTTACAAAAAAGGTGTTATTGTAGCTCGAAAAGACAAGAGGGGGGGGGGGAGGGCAGCCGCCACATGGAAGACTGGCTCTCTTATTCCTCGCGTTTTTGGTGGAATTGCAATATGGAGAGCACGAAGCAACTAACCACCTGCATGATGCATAATACAAGTGCCAGTATTTGGCGCCGCAGCGTCCCCTGCTCGTGTTAGAGGGAGAGAGGCACTTGTAACGAACGCAAGATGGACCAGAAGAATGCTAACGGAAGAGAGAGGACCCACGAACAAGTGGCTTCATCGAAAGGCGAGAGACGAAACGAAGCGGGAGCTATTGTGGCTCACCTGCATGAGGGAGATACTGCGGGTCAGCTCGATCCACAGGCCCGCAAACATCTTGAGGATGATGTACTCGCAGAAGAATCCTGCAACCTTTTTTTCAAGACCCAAATATGGTGGGGATAGGGAGGGGGCACAGACAACAACCAGGCAACAGCGGAAGGCGGCAAGTAGCACCAGCGTTAGCCTCACACCCCAACCATCATACACGGCTGGTGGCATCCCCCAACTACAACAAAATACCCAACGCATCCAGGTGCTCCCTCCGGAGTGGGCGCATGAGAACACAGCAGCGTCGTCAAGGGGTGACGCAAGATGACCATAAAACACAGCCAGCCGCCAGTTGTGAAGTTTTCCCAAGCTCAAATGCTCACGCAGCTGGCGTTCACCCTCGACACAGGTTTGACTCGAAGAGCCCAGCGAGCCTCACCCAACCCAAAAGAAAAGTACAAACCTGTACTATACACAGCAGGCTTACGATACAAGTCTGTTCATCAACCCAGCGAAGCTACAAGAACCCCCCCCCAAAAAAAAATGGACTACGATTCTGTATTTCTTTATTTTTGTATCCACTTGTAGTCAGCGCTCACAGCACTTGTGCCCTTTACTCCAACCCGTGGTCACACAGAAGGGGTCCTCTCCCTGAGGCCCCCTACCCAACCCACCCCTCCTGCTGCAAAACAGCCTAATGATTGTACAACTCTGTTGACCAACCAGTCAGCAACCAGCAATGACCTTGGGGAGGGCCTCCCCCAGCAGGGTAAATGTCTTCGTGGGCTCCTCCACGATCTCGCTGATCGTGTCCAGGATGGAGTTCGCCACTGTCGTCACCAAAAACACGTTGACAATCTGTAGGAGGGGGGCGGGGGCAAGGAATAAAGACACGTGCGTGATGACAACATCAAGGTGCTGTTCATGGCGGCAACACAATGTTGATGATGACGTCACCACGACGGCGATGATGATGATAATGGCACGGAGCTGACGGCGATGGATTCAATGTTCATGATGACGTCATGATGACGTCATGATGATGGTGATGACGTCACGGTGACGGCTAAACCAACAGTGCCGTGAACGGTAGCACCGCCGCCGCCGCCGTCGTCGCTAGCAAGCAAACAACGGACGACGCTCGACGACACACCGGGTTTCTGGTCTGGGGACACGATGCGATACGGCGGTGACATGCTCTGGCGACAGAAACAAAGCTAGCTGTCTGCGCGCAGGCAGAAGAAACACAGGTATGTCCTTCCTGCAGGCGCGCGACGCACGCTTGCAGAAGGTGTGCGATTCGATGCATGGCTCGGCCGAGACTAGCGTACGTTTATTCGCCAGCCGTTACGCGCTCTGGTCGGCGCTTGTTGACACGAACGAGCCATACACAACTTGAAACTCCAGCGGCATAACAAAGCCATGTGTGCGACGAAAACGTGACACAGAATAGACCACACAACAAACGACAACCAAAGCGCATGTTCACATCATGTTTTTTGTTGTCAGCATCGACACCAACAGCCCCCCCCCCGTCAAGCGTACCGCCACCGCTTAGCCGGGAAAACAATGCTAAATAATACACCACACGTGAATTGGGGGGTCTCCTGAACCAACAACAAGCAAGGACCACAGGTATGCTCCGCTAACGCAATGAATTCGTTGCTAAACCTCGACCCTCATCAATAGATAGGTGTGGATTCGTTGTGTTTTAGTATCAAGAAGCCACAGAGAGAGAGAGAGAGAGAGAGAGAGAGAGAGAGAGAGAGAGAGAGAGA